TTTTCCTGGTACAAGGTGTTTTTCCATAAGTGCAGAAGCTCATTTCCCAGCCATCAGAACAAGGTCTTCAATTAACCCTTAGCGTTGCCTTGACTCACTGCCAGATCCCAGGGCGAACACAGGACTCACAAAAAGCTCAAAAGCACAGCAAGGACCCGAAGCTGAGGTCTCAAAATTTGAGGACCAATTTCCACTTGAGAAACACAGGGAGCTGCAGGTGTTACAAACAGTCCATTTATTGGGTCTTTCACTACGTACACAGCTGAGCTCAGAGTTTGGCACTACGCTATACAGGGGTACATCCGTGTGCCCACACCGCTCCCACGCTGCCCCGGGAGCTCCCAACTCTGGGATCGGTCACACGCTCGGAGAAAGGTCTGGGTGCTCCCTCCCATGCAGGGAACAGGGAACACACACCAGCTGATGGGCTGTTCCCATGTACCTCCCGTTCCATGAGGGCATCACACCAGGGTGTGTGATGTCAGCACACACGTGGTGCAGTGAGATCTGAGTGAGACACGGCCAGAATGAGATATGGGGCAAAAACCAAAACAAAGCCTCTCTTGCCTCTCGGACACAGAAGAGATTCCGTTAAAGAAAATAATTTAAAAAAAACTAAGGATGGCATTTTGATTCGATACAAAAGCCAGAACCACTACTGTATTAACATCTAAGTATGAATCTTTACAAATTAATCTCACAATGGTGTTATGTAAAAGGTTGCAAACTGTACAATGTTTTGTCAATGCAATGCCTCTACAATTTATACAGTCTTTTACAACTATGTAACACATATTAAACAGGTTATTACACAGCCGATTCATACCAGTCTCTGAACAAAGCTTCAGGCAAAAAAAACACAGAGCTTCCACAATCTTCAAACGAGATATGTTTGCTCAAACAGTGACAATCTTTATGGGAATACACTGTTAAAAACTGCCCTTCCACACTGTGCATACAATATCATTCCGTGAGTTCAACCACCACTTACAGTCCATCATTTCCTATTGGGCTCTAATTACATGGAGACACCAGTCTTTTCCCCTCACAAATACGCAGATAATCATAGATTTTTTTATTCCACCTGTGGCCAAGTTCCCTCCAAAGGCCTGACCAGGCAGGAAGAGCCGTCCCTCCCCGCGCTCTGCCCCGCCACCACCCACACCGCACAGGGATCAGCTATTTACATTTGCACAAGGAAGGTACAAAAAGGCAATCCTGCCCTGAGCTGGCTGGATGAGACCCAAATCCCAGGAGTGAAAAATAAAACTCTGAGGAAGGCAGGCTCCCGGGATCGTGTGCTGAGCAGGGGAGGGGTGCAGAGCTCCGCTGCGAGAACTCCGGGGCGCGGCACTCTCCGGTTCTGCATATCCGTGACGCTGGAATCAGCTGGGAACAGGGGGCAGGAAAAGAGGGTGGGAAGTGTGCAGTGGAGGTCACCGTGTGCAAGGAAGCAGAAACAAGAGTGATGGGTGGTGCGGGCCCAGGAGGGTCTTGCCATGAACTCACGATCGGGCCCCACGAGCGCAGCCACGAGGGGACTGGGGGGGCTCCCACAGCTGCTCCCTGGGGAGGTGAAATTCCTTTGGGGTAGAACCAGGTCCTTATGTCTGTATTTTAAAAGTGGGTTTGATTAGGCATCGGGATTTCCAACACAAAGTTCTCTACATGATCAGTTGCTTTTGAGTCTCCTTTATTTCGCAGACAAGTTCCCGCATCCTCATTGTCCCGGGAGAAACCTGGAAGAGAAGGAATTCAAAACACAAATATTACCTCACGCTATTATATGCATGAAAATATAGGTTCAAACTGCTCTTGGAATACTGTCACAAAACACCACAACACAAGAGAGGTGGGAGTCTTGTAGTGCAACAAAGAGAAACTCCAGGAATGGATTCCCTCTTTGGGGACGTGCCTGTGGTGAGGAGACCTGGCAGGGTGGAAGAGGAAACCGTGTGGCAGCAGCCATTCCCCATCGGAGGTGTAGGTGACATACTGGGCTGGGTGGCAGCTAAAGTCCTCACAGGCCCCAGGAGCACAAGGCAGCACGTACCTCCCCTTTGGGGACACTGCCAGGCATTTAAAAGGCAGCCAACTGGCAGAAAACGGAGAAAAGGCACATCAATAGTCAAGAAAACAGGTGTAAATGTCTTAGCAAAGCACTGGGGTAACACAGGGACACACGGAGAGATGGGCAATATTTAATCAAGACAAATCTGGCCTTGACCAAGGCCACTGGAAGGGGTAAGGAGGGCAGATTTGGCTGCCCCACGGTGAGGGATTCCCCCTACTCTCCCCAGGATTCCTCAGGCTGACACGTCTGTCAGCTGATGTCCCAACACATCAGCTCACCCACCTATGCATAATAGCAGGGTGAGACCAGGAGGTCGGTGAGCACCAGGAGCTGGTCGTCCGTGAACTGCTGCTTGTGCTCCTGCCAGTTGTCGTGGTGGGTCCTGCGGAAGTTGGACAGCGTCTTCTTCACAGTCATCTGCAGGACACACAGTCAGGAGGGATCCCTGGCCCCCACGGAGCCCAGCTCCACGCCAAAACACGTGGAATACTACAAACAGAACTGCTCAGCATCACCAGGTGCTGGAGCAGAACTGAAGGTCGGGAGGGCTCTGGGGAATTCAGCCCAGTATTTTAATTTTCACAGGTCTTGTGACCAGTGGCGTGACTCCAACACCCTCATAAAAAGGATTCTTGCACCTACAGTTCTGGGTTGGAAAACATTCAGAGATTCTTATGAGGTAAAAGCAAAATGCTCTTCCCTGCTGCCTTTCCCTGGGGTGTTGCAACCAACGGTTTGCGTCTCAAAACATGGGAAAGCAGATGGTAGGTTCATAGAAACAAATCAGAGGAACATTATCTTCTCTTATTAAAATTAAGATTATTATTAAATTAACAAAAGAAAAGTCCCATCAGTTCAGTTCCCTGCTTCAGGAGGTCACACCACAGCAAAGTTTGCTAAATCTAAGGAATTCTGCAGCTCAATCCTCTAAAACAGCAAAGGTTAACAAAACCCAATACAGGAAAAAAAAACAGAGTTAAGGGCAAAACTGTTTAATTAAAAACTTATTTCTAGGGCTGCCTATAAAACTTTGTTTTAAGAATTTCAGACCCATGTTTTGGTTCAGGTTGTTTTCTGGCATCCACAAAAGGGGCATTTTTAATTCAAAATAATATATACACACACACATTTTAAATACAGTTCCTGCAGCTTTCAGTTGATGTTTTAAACTTGAGAACAAGGACAAATCTACCACAAAAAAGACTTAAAAGCAGTCCATGATTTAACACTACTTGGAATCATTTAGTAAAGGCAGCAGACACTGAGTTTCTTAATAGGTTCCTATTTTTTTTCCTGAGAAAGGGGAACAAAGAGCAAGCCAAGTGTATTTTAGCTGTGTCCTCCTGACCACAGAAACGCTGTGTTTTTACCTCGATGGGCTGAGGATCGTTCAGGTGGGCACTGAGATCCATGAGGAGCTGGGGCATCCAGGTGGGCACGTCGTAGGGGCTGGAGAGGATGCAGGCGCTGAGCCCCAGGACCCCGGCGTGGCGCTTCACCAGCTCTGCAGGCACAGGAAATCACACTGAGGGAAAGCAAAACAGCAGCAAAACCCCCCACACAGGACAGAGACCTCCACCTTCTGCAGAAATCCAGGGAGTTCTACAGACATAAACCTACGGATCTCCACATTGCTCCTGCTTTCTCACACAGAATCCCAGATTCGTCCTCTATCTTTGGTTTCTCATGGAAGAACATGTCAGGGATTCATCTGCAACAGCTCTACGCTTCAAAAACACTTCCAGTGAGCTTCCCTCTCTCAAGGAAACTCATAAATAGTTTGTAGTGAGCTTGATGTATATGGGAAAAGTATTTTCACCATTGCTAAGTTGACATGATTAAATGGGAAGTGGATCTATGGAGTAATAAATAGTGGGTTTACACATTGTCCACACAGGAAGGCATTTTACCCTGCTGGAAGTTGAATTTCTCCTGACACACATGCTAATATTTACAGTGAAATTACAACATCTCTGTTTCAGCTCTACTGAAACCAAGCAATGCACCAATTCCGTGAAAATGTAAAAATAACAGAACTTTTGAAAAATCACTAACGGAGCATTTTATGAACAGCTGTTTGCCTGGACTGGAGCCTGACAGAAACAAAGGACAGGAATGACACCATGGAAAATATGGAAACCCAGCCTTCTGAGTCAATGGTTGTGACTCCCATGCATTAAATGTCCAGTCAGAAGCCAGAGTTGCAAACAAAGGCTAAGGGGTTTTTTTGTTCTATATTTTTTTTTGGTTGGTTGTTCAGTGGGGGTTTTTTGTGTGTGTTTGGTTGGGGGGTTTTTGTGGGGTTTTTTTCTTAAGAATAAAAGCCATGCTACTAAAAATAGAAGGTAAAAAAATGTGTTACGACAGCTAAGGAAGTTTATTTATTAAGGAACTTGCTATCCTTAATCATCTGCATCCTTAACTCTGCGAGCTGGGAAGTGGAAATATCTCTTGAGTGTTAATTCTAAAAGAGTTAAGAAGTTAGTTTAACACAGGAATACATAATAAAAAATTTACTTTTGCTGAGTACTCTCATTCATCATTTATGCTTGCACATCAAATTCTTGAAGCACTTGACAAGGATAAGGATGTGCAGCAGGGGTTGGGATCTGCACTACACAAACAGAAACAGAGCACAGGAAGAAATTCTTTCCAGAGAGGGTAATCAGGCATTGGAATGGGCTGCCCAGGGAGGGGGTGGATTCTCTGTCCCTGGAGGTTTTTAAGATAAGACTGGATGTGGCATCAGTGCCATGGGCTGGGAACCACGGCAGTAGAGGATCAAGGGTTGGACTTGATGATCTCGAAGGTCCCTTCCAACCCAGCTGATTCTATGATTCTATAAGGTGCAGAAGGACAAGCGATTTGCCATTATGGCTTATGAAATGACTAGGAAGGAAAAACACCCCCCTGGTGTTATCTTTTACCAGGTACATATTAATTTTCCAAACACTGCTTAGCCCCCACCCCTGCAGCGCTGGCAGACTTTGTGCAGCACAAACCCCACCCTGCTCCCCTGATTCCCTTACCCCCCGAAGGAATGGTGTCCCCCACGGAGCCCAGGTCCCTCTTCCGCTTCTTGGGCAGCCTCATCTTGCAGAGCTGCTCGAAGTGTGTCTGCATGGGCTGGTCCATGGAGAGGAAGTTGCACTGCAGGAGCCCACTGAGCGTGGTGGCTGCCATCTCCCTCACCTGGGCACGACACAGAGCAAGGGGTTTTAGAGCCTAAAATCCCTCTCCGAGAAGAGGCTCACGGATACCACTTTGAGGAATTTGCTGCATTTAGGTTGGAATGACAGAGACAGAAAACATGTGTTATGAGATCAATTAAGGGAGAGAAGGTATCAGGCTCTGAGAGGCCTGTCTGTCCTTGGTGTGCTCTATCCTAATGAAATATAACAAAAAGGTTAGCCTAGTAGTCATGAATTAGATAAGATGGACATTTGGGGGGGTTGGAGAGCTGAGTAAAGAGGTTTTTAGTAAGACTTTCAACTCAGGAAGAGTTGAAAAGTTCATGAAGATGAGGAGCAAGAAAACGACCCCCATGAGGCCGAAGAAAACGGAACGACCCCCAAGGATTTACCCAAAGGGATGACTCCGCCCCAAGTTCCACCTGAACCCCACCTGATATGAATATTATAACCAGATGATGTAATTGTAATAAATATTCATGTAGAATATTGTAATCCCTCACCAAAATTGTATCAATTACCTGGCTTTTCACTGAGAACTTGGGAGCTGGTTTGTCCAGCACAAGCTGGCTGGCACCCCAATGTTGCTTGAAATAAATACCCTTGCTGCTTAAAGACTCAAAACTGTCCCTGAGCAGTCATTTTATGCTGTTTTGGCATCAGGCACACCAGCACAAACAATTAACAACCCCACGAGTACAGCAGCAAACTGGGATTTGGGACATCCAGCTGGGCCAAGTGGCCAAACTCCACCCAAGAAAAGCCCTTACAATATTATGCTGTTATTAGTTGCTCTTTAGAGGGCTCTTTACAAATTAATTAACAGCTCTGCTGTAATACAGAAGTGCTTTCACGTAATTTGTCATAAAGTGACCTGCTACTCAAGCAAACAATGTAATTTAACTCCACTGTTAATAAACATACCATAGATGTAAATAGTTATCACAGAACCAACTGATATCATAGCTGATACCACAGATATACATAGGTATGATAGCACAGATATCACAGATTAGAGGAGCTTCAGAAAGTTTAAAAACAACCTTGGACAGAGACCAAGATGCACCACCACAAATAATCGACCTGCTTTACAACATCCCTAACAGATTCTGTATTCATATCAGTTTTAAGGAGCCCTTTATTCAAAAGCATTTAGTTTTCCCCTTCAAATGTAGAATTGACAAAAAGAGAAGAGGTTTTCCAAGAGAAGGCAGAAGGGATGTTCAGAAGGCTCAGCTGATTTTGTTCTACCAGTAGTACAAGAATTCTTTGAAAGACACAAGAGATGCTGGATTAATAAGCCACAATAAATAACTTCAGTGGTTTATGGTCAACAATTCAGTTCTATAACACCCCAGAATGATAAACTTCCTTGCCCCAAGTACCAGACCTTTGCACTACCTGAATAAAAACACAATTCCAGGTTGGAAAAATAATGTTCTCTCGGGTAACACAGAAACCCCAGAGAACAAGACTCAACTAAGTTTTCACCTAATTTCCTAACTACTCAAAATACAGATCTCCTTTCCCATTCCTTTTTAAAACAGCCACAGCACCTTGTCAGTGGATTCCAAGGAGAGCCAACTCAGAGCTGCTTTTAAAAAAAACAGACTAATTTCTCAGGATCACTAATTTCTCTCATCTCCTCAAAGCTCCCAAAGCCACCAAGTCACAGGACTGTAAGGCCACATTGAAATTGGGAATCCCTCCAACTCTCACTCCCACTCCCAGTAATCCAAAGCTGCCAAAAACCTCCCCCACGTTTCCAAACCTGCAAACCAAAGGCTGACAGCGGCCACCAGGTTTTTGGGAAGTAACTGCAAACAGAACTGTTTGTCTCCGTGGAGCACAACCCCCTCCCAGGGCCCTGGATCCAGGGTGGCAGGTTATAATAAATGATATCCTCGAACACAATGTTCTGAGCCTCTCCCAAAACAATAAGTACAGCTGCAAGTGCTGCCATAATTAACGACGGCAAGCTCGAATAAGCTCTTGGGACCTCGCTCTGCTCCATTTCAATTTCTAGCAGGTATTATTCAAACCTGATCCACTTTGCTAATGGCTGGGGAAGGACGAGGTGAGAGCCTGCCAGTGTTGTTTATCGGCAATTTGTGAGCCCCCGAGGAGCTGAGCCATTAAATGAAACGCAAGGTGCTAATGGCAGAGCCGGCACACACAAAGCAGCTCGGCTGGGAAGTGAGCGAGGCCCCGAGTGAGCTGGGCTTATTTACATCACTACTGCCTGCATTAAAACCACTTGGATTCCTAAATTAATCACCTACCTAAGAAGGAACACTTTGCTGCAAGGAGCACCTAGGAGCAAAGCCCTTAAATCCATACACGAGGCAGCTGATCGCTCATCACATCTAACACTATATATTTATATATATATATTTATAAATCATCACACTCACACGACGACTTGTGGAATACAAAAGCTACACAGGAATAACACAGGAATCTTCCAATCGACTACAGGATTTGGGTTTTTTTGGTCAGAAGTGACCCAAGTCTGTAAAACTGCAACAATATCAGAACAAAACCACTGAGCAGCACGGGCCAAACCCAACTGCAGAAGTTGCAAGGGGTGCTAAAACAGAGAGAAAACACTCCCATTCCTGTAAAACTGCGGTGTAATATAAGAAATGTTCATCAGGACATGAGTGAAGTCTGTGTATTAAATCAAAAGGATGGGTTGGATCATCAGGACTGGATCTTTGTATCAAAACAAGCAAAAAAAAATAAAAAAATCTTAAAATCCAAGAACCAAACCCTCAGTTCTGCAGGGTAAACACACCAAATCCTAGCTAAAGGTGAGGATGCTCATCCTAAAAATCCAGCACCCAAGAGCTGCACAGGAATTACTCTGCAGGATACTGCATCCTGTCAGTTATTATCAAGGAAGAACAAGATTACTTTTCAAAGAGAAGTGAAAGCTTCCATGGCAACAACATGACTGGAAGTGGTTCTGAACCCAGAGCTCTACATCTCTGTAGTGCAGAGGAATCATTTGGTACGTTTAGAATAACAAGATAAATTGCATTCGAGTGAATAAGAGGTATTTTTTCAAAATGATGGGAGATTATGAGGTAAGTGTTCTGACAAACAACCTAGGGAGCACTGCAAGGTGCTGCAGAACCTCCTCTTCCTTCTAGAGAGGGAAAAGCACCCAAAAGCAGCATTTCATTGGTATTTGCCAGCTGCACAAACACCAGTGGGAACGATGGTGAAGGGGAGATGGACCAGACTGGAGATTAACACTAAAGATTCTTCACTGTGCTTGAGCATGGCTTAAATTCACAGCATTTAATGCAAACCCTCAGCTGTGGTGAGCTTGATGTACATGGGAAAAGTATTTTTGCCATTGCTAAGTTGACATGATTAAATGGGAAGCAGGCCTATGGAGCAATAAATAGTGGGTTTACACACTGTCCACACAGGAAGGCATTTTACCCTGTTGGAAGTTGAATTTCTCCCAAGACACACACTAGTATTTACAGTGAAATTATTTCAGCTCCACTGAAACCAAGCAATGTGGTTGGTTCACCAATTCTGTGTAAAAGTAAAAATAACAGCACTTTTAAAAAAAAAAATCACTAATGGAGCATTTTATGAACAGCTGCTTTCCTGGACTGGAGCCGGACAGAAACAAACCCTGTAAAGCTGATTTTCCAGCTGAGCTGGAAATAACCCGCTGTGCTGACTCCCACCTGGCAGTTCTTCCACAAAAAAACCCCACAAAGCATTCCAGGGAAGGGGGCACTTGCCTCCAGCTGCTCGTCCTCCAGGAGCTGGATGACCAACCACCTGATGTCATCGACGGCCTCGGGGTTGTTGAGGAAGATGAAGAGGTTGTAGAACACCATGGTCTGGAGGTAGGTTAGGATGGTGTAACGGGCGTGCCAAGAATTGCTTCTTGCTGTCTGCGAGGAGGGAGAAAGTCAGGGTGAGACCAAAAGCAGCTGCCCGGCGTAAAACCAGCAATATTTGATAAAAAAAAACCCTTCTGGAGCACTTGCAAAGAACTTCCCTTATTCGGGTGGTTTTGTTTCGTACCCTCTTGGTCTCCAAAGAGATCAAATGCACTTAATTTCATACTTTGGATTTAAGTCCAAAACTGAGAGAAAATGTTTTGGAGTTCACTTACACTTAAATAAATCTTTATTCTGGGGTCATGTGTGTTACTGTTGGATAATTGATTGATGTTTATATAAACTCATGTACTGTGGGCATGCAATTGTTACTCAAGTCATAATTTTTATAGTCTCCACTTCCAAAGCAGACTTATTTAACATAATTATATTATATTTATAATTAAATACAATTATGTTATAATTATATTATAATTATGTTATAATTATATTATAAGTATGTTATAATTATGTTATATTTATATTATATTTATATTATATTTATATTATATTTATATTATATTTATATTATATTTATATTATAATTATATTAAATGTTTATTTAATATAAATATACTGTAAAACTATAAAAAAAAGGACACTTCTTTATATGAAGATTCATCCTGAAACTGGATTTTGAATTGTTGTGCTCATGAGGAGACATGTTGGACTTCAACTGATCCACTACTGAGCCAAATGTGAATTTATTAACATGCAGTTCAATTTCTTACAAAAACGAAGTGGTTTAAGTGTTTGCAAGCAGGAAACAAAACGAAACATATTTGCTGTTTATGGGAATGTTCTAAAACACTTGAAATAAACCCTTTCCTTTCACATGTAAATCAGTGTGTGATTCTCTCAGAATCACAGCTACTGAATAATCTTAAAGACAAGGCAGAGAACAAGAGGCTTTAAGCTGTTCAGACCACACTCACTTGTTTTAGCACCTGAAGTACCAAAGGCACTTGCTGAGGATACAGCAAACCCTGAGACATCAAGGACAGACACATCTTTGCATCTCTCTTGAGCTCATCGTAACTATTGTCGTTTTCCACGGGTGCAATCTGCAGGGAGGGAACAAAAACCAAGGGCAGGGTTAGTGAGGAACCACTGGCAGGAGCAAAATCCTGAAAGGAAGGGTAATCCCATGAAAGGACAGTTGTCTAGGCAAAATACATTTAATATATTGCTGGAAGTTAACCGGGAAAAACAAATCAACATAACATTAAAATATTCTCAGCTGTTGAAAAAGATTAAATAATCGAGAGATCCTTGTTCCTTGCCCCATTTCTTATTCACCTGAAGAGTATGGCTGGTCTGAAGCTCTTTAGGGGGATTAAATGGGTGCCATTAAGACTTTGGTCCCCACTGCAATCCTCTTGGTATCAAATCCAGTTGATTTCATATTTTAAATCCAAGTCCAAAACTGAGAGAAAGCTTTAACTAAGCTCAATTTCACTGAAGTAAACCTTTCCTTTGGGGTCACACACATTACTGTTGGATAATGGACTGATGTTTACACAAGGACACGTAAGCAAGTCTGGATTATTTCAGATATGTGGCACTGGATGACCCAGCTTCACCAAAGAACACAAGAATCAGGAGAACTATCACATTTATAAAGAATTGTGTAACCAGGGAACAAAAGCAAACGACTCAAGGTCCCTCGAGAACGGTTTGGGTTGGAAGGAACCTTGAAGATGATCCAGTTGCAAGCCCCTACTACTAAAGGAGAAGTTAAAAGGTGTACCTTGAAGAACAAAGGTAAGAGCTGGAGTTGCTCTGTGACAGCTGTAGAGAAAGACCGTCCTGCGCTCGCCATCAACCACTTCAGAACTGTTAATAAAGAGTTAACAAATGTCATAAAATGATCACTGATCAAGAATAGTAACAACCCCCAAACCAAAAGTTACAGACCATATTTATTTACTGCAAGACTCCCCTGTGAGTTTTTCACACATTAGAGTGGTTCAGTTTGACCCTTGAGGCGACCTTATAAATCCCAACAGCTCCAGTGTCACAGCAGACACAAGAGGAGAAATCCTGTGGTGCAACTACCCAGTGTGCTAAAATACCCCATTCCTTAACCTCAGGCACTCACTTGTTTTCAAGAGTTTAATGCCCTGAGTTCGCTCATCCTGCTCCCCAACCCCGTTCTCTTCCATGACGTGGTTCTGAATTTCCTCATCCGCCTCCATGAGGGGTTTGAGGTTTTCAAGTATCCGGGCGGTGAATTCATGGACACGAGGAGATTTAGTTGCAGCAGTGTTTGGCAAGGAAACATCAATCATGAATATGTAGGTCAACACACTGGGAAAGCAAACAGAGCAAGGGAAGAGCACACAGTCAGCACCACTCCTGCCTGGAGAACAGGGTGATCTGTGAGCCACAAGTTAATCCAGATCAATTCAGTGACCTTTAATACTCACAGAAAATTTCATCTCTGCTTCAAAGTTATTTAAAACCAAATGTCCCTCAGACACGCTCTTTGTAGATATTTGAATCAATCAGGGTTAGACCATCATTAAGCTACAACCCTCCTCCCCTCCAAAGTGATCTGCAACTAAGTTTTTGAGTCACTAAAAGGACTTCAATTCTTTAAAGGAGTCCCTGTTATTTTTGGCTTATTAAGGCTTAGACACAGGAATTTTGGGGTTTGGAGATTTTTTTTTGGGGGGGTGGGTTTTCTGTGGAGGTTTTTTGAGGCTGGGCTGTTCGTTGGGGGTTTTTTTAAGAGCTTCAGAGTCATCAGGCATAAACATAATGGGCCACATGCAATAAATTGGTGAGGCCCTGGCACAGGTTGCCCAGAGAAGCTGTGGCTGCCCCTGGATCCCTGGAAGTGTCCAAGGCCAGGTTGGATGGGGATTGGAGAAATCTGGGATGGCGGAAGGTGTCCCTGCCCACGGCAGGGGGTGGCACTGGATGATCTTTAAGGTCCCTCCCAACCCAAATCATTCTGTGATTCTATGAATAGAAGAGAAAAACAGAGAAATTATCTGAAGTTTCTGAAGCAAGTCTGTTAATAGTTTACCTAATTTCTGTTACCAGTATAAATGCTTTCCATTGTAATTATTTAGACACTTAACCACCCCAATATAAAAAAAGAGTTAAAAAAAAAATAAAAAAAACCCCAACCAGCAAGAACTGCAGAAAAGAGAACACTGACCTTCCTATTCTCTCTCGGACGTTCTTGTAAACCTGGGTGAGTTTGGGCTCCAGGTACTTGAGCAGCCTGTGCAGCAGCTCTGGCACCCTCCACTCCTGCTGGGCCAGGCCCCCCTGCAGCACGTACAGTCGGCTGGGAAGGAGAAGAGCTCAGCTGTGGTCACACAGAAGGGTTCCTGCTCCCCCAGCCCCCCCAAACTCTGCCTGGGGAGCGTTCACCCCCTGTGCCAACACACCCGAGTGCCTGGGAAGGAGCTGGGTGCAAAGAGGGGTAAAAACCACCCAAGGGAACAACAGTATTGGGGCTACACGAGCTCCAAACCTTCCCAGCCTGTTAATTAACTAGTCTGAATGAGATTAAAAAAGTAATCACAAAGAACCTGCCATTTTATGGGGAAGCTAATTGGGAAGCAGCCCCTCTGTTCCCCACTCCAAGGCAGCTGGCACAGCATCCTCTCAACACACCCCTGCCTCATCTCCTTCTTCACTCAGCCACAATAAAACAGGTAAAATTAACTTTACCAGGCGTCTACAAATGATCCTCCTTCCCCACTCAGTGGAGATTCCAGCAGCAATTCAAACAACCAGTGCAGTTTCCTGGGATCTCTGCTCTCCTGGAAAGGAACAGGGAACAGAGATATAAGGAAATGGGAGATTTTTAAAATGTGGATAATGAATAAAAAGATGTATAAACAAGGAAAGTTTTGATAGAGATTTTATTTACATTCCTTGGGTTTACTCTATGAAGCAAGTGCAACAACAAATATTTTTTCCACAATGAACCTCAATAGGAGGAAAACCCAATAAAACCATACCCAGCTTTAATTAATTGGTAAATAAAACAGATAGAATTTTAGCTTTGTTTTTGACAGATATGAATAAGTACATCTGAATTTTGCTGATGAGGGCTCTGGCTGACAAACTGCACTGAGCTCTGCTGAGCGATTTGACAGAATTATTGACCCGAGATATTTGGGGCCTATCCCTCACCCTGCTTCCCAGGAACCTAATTCCATAGCAGATCCAGATTTACTGGACAGCAAATGGGGCACTTACACAGGAGGTTGCAATGCAGGTGCCCCAGTCATTGTAGGTCTCCACTGTGATGTTGGATAAAGCTGTTCGGAGCAAGGGACACAGGAGCTTCCAAAGTTTTTCCACCTGCACAAAGGCAAAAGCCAAGATTTTTTCTTTCTATTTAAGAAACCCAGCTCAGATATTAAAATGCCTTTTTTGTTGTTTGATCAAGGAACTGATTCCCTCAGTATTATTTTTGGCACAGACATTCAGCAAGGTCTAAGACTAAGTGAAGTCCAAGGGGACATAAGCTTGTGAGAAACAAAGTCTCAAATTATAATTGGAGTTTATTATATGGAAAAAGCAAACAGCCAGCTGGGTGACAGAAATGAGGACTGATTCCCCAAATCTGCACACCTACTACAGTGTACATTTGGCATTTATTTCAGCTACTTCATGCATATTAATTTTATCATATACATACACATTTTACAGCTCAGTATTCAATATATGGGTTTTCTTACAGCTAAAGCTAAATGGTTATCTCTACAACCAGTCATAATTCATGCATTCTTGGATGAACAGGCGCCTAAAAAGATTTGAAGTTCTACCATATTTTATTCTTAGGATAGCAGGGAGGTTTAGGACTCGCTGACCTTGCAAGGGTCTGCTTTATTTCTTTATGGGGGTGTAATTAAGTTTTACAACCCGTTTGTTTTATTTTGATGTAGTCACCCATTTGTTTCACGAATCACAGCTATTCAGCACAAGCTCTTACTCCTACTGGAAATCACAAACCACGGCAGCTCTGCCATCTCCTCACCTGCAAACTGCTCTCAGTTTTAACACTGAAACATTTTGCTGACTACAAGTAATAACAGGCTCTAAGCCAAGCTATGAGTTGTGCTCCAAGTTTGGCAAGGAAGCACCAAGTGCTGCAGCATTTTCCAGTCCTCTCTCAGACTGGGGTGACACATCAAAAGCCCCCCAAGCTTCACACTGGTTTAATAATTCAAAATTACTCCTTCACTTCCAAGAATCACTCAAAAATCACCATTCAAAGTTCAGCACCTTGTCAAAGGTCCAGTGCTTAGAACCCCTTATGAGCCCAGCTATGATCTCAGCCACACATCTCTGGGGGCTCTCGTGGGAGTCTGAGACCAGCTGCTCCAGGTGGGGCTGCAGAACTGGCAAAAAGGCATCATCAAAGTTCCTGAAAAGGCCCTGGAAAACAAGAGGGGGGGAAAAGTGTCCTCAGGAATCATCTAAACCACTGCCTTCCCACCAACAACACGAGCTGGTGAATTAATTACTGAGGTTTGGACATCCAGAAAGTGAAATGACTTTGCTGCTTTAACAGAATTATACCCCCAGTGTCCTGCAGGCTATTATATCACTCCAAATATGTTTCCCTTAAGCAGTTAATCAGAAGAGAGGATTAATAGGATTACTCAGAGCAGCTTTAAAAATCAACATTTTGCAACAGTGGGGTATTAAGCCGGGCAGTCTGGGGCTTTTCCACGCTCTGCTAAATGGAAGCAATTTGGTTGTTGAACTCTGGTTTACCTTGAAGAGGCAAAATCTGCGAGGATTAAATTTGTCCTTTCCTTTCCTGTCTTCTAAAGACAAAAATTTTATTAACTGCTCGACAAACTTGGGATCAGAAAAGTGATCATATATAATTTGTTCTGCCTGTAACGGGAAGAAATAAAAAAAAAAAAAAAAAAGGATTAGCTTTGAGGTGTTTGTTTGTCACAGTGACATCCCAATCTTTCCAAGTCCCATGTTTCATTTTCAGTCTGTTTTTGGCAAAAACCACGTCTTGGTCACCCATTTCCCTCCCTCATTTTATAGGGAATATTAGGTGATGTTTTCCAAGACTCCTGATTATCTTTATTAATGACTTTGGATTGTCTTTCCTTTCACTCACAACCCCTGAAAATTAGTCCTTCCCACTGTCATTAATTACCTTGTCCTAAACCCCGATAATGATGTGAAAGGGAACAAGAAGTGCTCATTAATACAGTTATTCCATGGCCCCTGACAGAAAAGCTGCAATACATCAAAATAATAATTTCTTTTGCATGCTGACACAGCATGAAGTAGAAAAATACAACTAAAAGTGTCTTGTGGGGATGCAGGTTTAGAGAGATTTCCACAGTGACCTGTGGGCAATATTAAAAGAAGAAAGGAGGAGAAATACTATTAAAAAAACCCCCACAAACCTGCAGCTCTTACCTCTGTCAGCTCATCCCTCCTTCGCCCAAGCTTTGGCTGATGCTCAGCTGGGGCATAAACTGTCATGGTTCTGAAGATGAAAAATGAAAAAAACAAAAATAGAGCAGCACATTTCCCAAAGTAAAATAAAGCTTATGGTTATTTCCTACATTCTCAATATTCCTACCTTCTCAATTAACAGGGTGATAAATATTTTAGAGTTGGGGGACAACTTGGCCCCAAAAGATCAACGTTTACAAGACAATTTACGACAAAAGGATGAAGTTTGTCATCAAAGGTTCTGCCACACAACAGAATTATTACGAACAAGCAAGCAGCAAATAGGACAAAATACACATATTTTTTGATGGTTCAATTAAAAAAATTAAATATCACAGTAAACCATCATTTAATTTCCCCACAAGGTTTTTCCTGCTGACTCTGCCAGCTCTGATGGTACTCACTGTGGCCAGGTGTAATACCCCCAGTGTGTTTTCTCCACAAAACAACATGATTCCCAAGCTTCCTTGGTCTTTGGCAAGCTCTGGCTGTTGTAGTGCAGCCACTGGTTGTCGGGTCTGTCACCAGCCTGGATCCTGGAAGGCTTTGGGCTCCCACCTGCTCCCACAGGAATTTATTCAGCATCAAACTCGCTCATTAACAGTCCCAGCAAATGTTAGTGTGATTTACTAAAAGATTCTGAAGAGCTTTTGTGTCCCACTGCCCCAAATCTGGGCAGTGATTTGCTTCAGCAGACAAAGGAACACCAATGGAAGAGATCCCTCTATTAATTTATGGGATTTGAAATTATTTAAAAAAAAAAAAATCAAAAAGGAGATATACAAATTCTCACAAGTGACAAGGCTTTCTGAAAGGACAATCTCTAAAGTTTTAACTCACTTTTAAGAGGTGAATAGCTTGCAAACACAGGAGTGTTTAAAAAAAACCCCAAAACTGAAAAATTACCAATTATATTACCTACATAATATTTATACCTATTTGTTTAGGACATCAACCACAAGAGAAAAATTAAAAGCTTGTGATTCTACGTTTAATTTAACCAGAAAAGCTTTTTGAAACGTCTCAGTATAAATATAAGACATTGCTTATATTAAATAAAACCTACTTATTTCGTAAGGGCAGATGGGCACTTTCTTGTGTGTTCTCTTGAGCTGTTTGAGAATCCCAGCTACAGCTGAGATGGCCACCTGAAAGGAAGCAATGGCCATTAATGTACCCATTCCATACATTTCCCCCCCACAAGGACGTGGCTCATCATCCCTAAAAACCCAGTGAACGATGGAGTGAACTTGGTCACAGCCAAAAGGAACCAATCCTGGTTATCTCAGGGGATACATGACCTTAATAGCCCAGAAAAATCTCCCCACTAATCATTTTGGGTTTAATAACTTTAATTTGATGTTGTTTTAATAATTTGAGGGGGGGGGGAAAAAGGTTTAAGTTTCGAGCCTCAGCGAGGCAACAACGGAACGAACAAAACACAGAGAGATGGCTCCCTTCAAATAATAAAGTGCAGGTGGGGAAAAAGCAGCCATCTGCAAAAGGAATTCTGCAATAAATAAGGAGGACTGGCTCCATCCCACACTTTCACAGTTTACAGACTTTACATATGTCACACCACAGCGCTGCCAAGGCTCATCTCCCTGCACGAGGAGCGTCGGGCACGTGCGCGGCTGGAAGGGGGAGGAGGAGGGAGATCCACCCTCCCTTCTTTTTGTGCTTTATCCCAGCAAACCCCAAGGAGGTGCAAGGCAAAGGAAGGAAGTTCTTTGGGGTTTTTACCTTCCTGACCACGATGGCATCGTGGTTGAGACACTGCACAAAGAACCTGATGGCCCGCACGGGCAGGGGCCTGTCGTCCCTCAGCAGCAGCGACAAGAAGCCAATGCTGATGTGCTCGAACTTCCAGGGCCTAAAAACCCCCCCAAATATTCAAAAACACAGTGTTAAGGACCACAGCTGCAGGAACAGGGTTTGCTCAGAAATTATTTTATGTCTTAAGATGATGTAAATACGCTTGGACTAACATTTCCACACACAAGTGCCAACAAACGTTCGAGTTCACGGTGGTTTGTTCATCTTGGCATTTCAATAAAACACAGACCTACAGGGATAACCCTTCACAAGCTTTTAAACACAAATATTATGGTAAGAACTGGAATATATTTGGATGTCAGTATTAATATTGCACAGACAGAGCTAGAGCTTTGTTCCCAGGAAAAAAAAAAAAAGTTAAAAGCCCCACTAACGGGCCAGACTAATTAAAGAAAAAAGCTTAACTCCAAGATGTGGTGATGCCTTATATTAACACATCAAGCTCCCAGTGGAAATGAATCCAAGACCATGCTAAGTGCCCTCCTGGATGCCATGGGTATTTAATCACGTAGCCACCCAAAACAACTCTCATGCACAAAAAGGGAGACTTACAGGTTTCTCTGTTCCACACAGTCCAGCAGCATGTTGACCAAGTTCTCGTAGTTTCTGAGAGAAAGAGAGGGAATCATCAGCCAGATGGTACTGAGAGAACCAGTTAAAACAGGATAAAAGCCCCTCAACAAAAGGTGAGCGAAGGCAAAAAGGAGGAGGCCAAAAGGAAGCAGGAGGGCAGAAGACAGAGGCTGCCAAGGAAGGAAGGAAGGAAGGAAGGATGGATGGATGAGGCCAGAAGACAGAGGCTGTCAAGTCAAGAGAGAAGACACAGCCCCACCAGTCCCTGGGCACTGTGGATTTCTCATTTTAGGCCTTTTGGATGACTCCATTTAATGTGCAGTAAATCCAAGGAGCACAAGTTGGTGTGAAGGGAAGCTGAACTCACCGCAGAGCCTCAGCACTCTTCTCCTTCTGCCGCTGAATTCCCAGCTGGATTTCCTCTGAACCAAGACCTGGGAAGTCTGATTCTGGATGAACTGACTTCTGCAGCAGAACAGCTGCCTCCATGCATTTCTCCGGGACCTATGGACGGGGAATGAAAAGATTTGGGACTTCACTTAAAAAGTTTTTAATGTCTGTTTTGAAATAAGCAGAGAGCAGAATTTCCTTGTCCACACAGCCAAGCCTGAAGCAGGGAACACAACCTTTTGTGCCCACACAGCAGAATTATTTCTCCCAGTACGTGTTTAATTCTATTGTAAAATAAAGGTAAGAACAAGCTTTAGTGTTTCATTAAGAAAAAAAGTCATTTAAGGATTGCTTCTGTTAATTAACCCCGAGCAACTTACTGCAAAATCCAGCCCAATGGTCTCGTACTGCCGATGGATTTTTTCTGCCAGGTCATCAAAGAGTCTGACTATGGATGGTTTTTCCAAGGACATGGCTTTGCTAAGCCCAGAAGAGACAATGGCTGGCCACGTCTGTGCAATGCAATCCCAGTCGTGGAGGTTTGCCAGGCACACCCCGCTGTGATTTCCAAGGAGACAATATAAGGCACCCTGGGAAACAAAAGAGGGAGTTTGGAAGGTTAAAGCCTTGCTCCTGTGTGATAGCATGGAATAAAAATTCATCTGCAGTTCCCAACTCATCAAAATGTCCCATAAACACTCAGCTCCGTGGTCTCCCTGTCAAAACACTGAAGATTTCTCACAGATTCCTCTTCATTTAATGAGATTGGAAGCCCTGCCAATTAATTTATCCCCAGAATGGCTGATTTCTGAATTGCATTAGAGGAGATGATTCACAACTGCTTCATGAGCGCTGCCACCTTGACTGCAGCGCCTCAATTCCCATTCCAGAAGTTAAAAATAGGCATTGACACCCGTTTTTGGTGATACCTGAGCAAACAATGGAATCAGGACCGAATATGAACACAAAATTCCTGCTGAAAACAGATCCAACACAAGTCATTCCCTACACTTGTCATGCATAAGCCACGAAAATATTAGTGATGCTGATATAAACAAGCCCTTTCACCATTACAAGTTCCCCCATAAAGGCATTTTGAAGAGACACAACACAAAGGGAAGGAGCCAGTACTTTGAATTGCTTTTGGGTGACATCCTGCCGGTCGGGACGCAGGAACTCCAGAACCAAGGGAATGATGTCCCTGCAGCAGAAGTTGTAGGTCCCCAGAGCTGTGAAGAATGCCTGCTGAGCTTTACTCCTGACCTGTGTGGGGACAGAGACATCACTAGGAAATCACCTAAAACAAAACACAAGGACTTGAAAAAAAAAAAAAACCAAAACACCCTCATCCATTTCAAAGACAAAATTACTTGGAGGAGGTTATAAACACCTCACCCTTCTCAAAGCTGAGTATTTGTGCACAGAAAGAAAATTACTGGCAGGAGGTTGTGAACACCTCACCCTTCTCAGAGCTGTTCATAAAAACCTACCTCTTGTTTTTGGCGTTTATTTGAGAACAGCTAAAGTTAAAGAATTTTCTTTATGTTGCCAGAAACAACGTGTTTTTCAGGTCATTTGAAAAGCAAACAGATGGAATAACAGGTTTGGAATATATAGCCACTGAAGAGATCAACAAAACACTGCTCATATTTCAGTTTAAAGGGGCTGTTCCTCACCTGACCATAGGAACTCGTGGACAAACACAGAAGATCCCTGATCATCTCCTGGTGGGAAGTTTTATATTCACAGCCTTCCATCGTTAGTGTTCTCAGCTGAATCCATGGAGAACACAAATAAAGGACAGATTGTTTTTTACATTTCACACATCCCAAAGAAACACCAGAGCAGGATTATTGTTATGATGACATTTAGCAAAACTGTGCAAATCAGTTTTTTCGAGGAAAGCAATTAGCAAGGATTGAGGGGGAAGAATTACCTCATGCTGCAACATAACCCTGTCAATCAGCAGAGCTCTGATATGTTGTTTCTTTCCTTGAAGCTGTAAAAAAAAAATTTAAAAAACACAACATAATTTGGTTTAGATTTCAGGATCATATCAGCAACTTAGGGACTATTTCCATCCCTCCCCAAAGCTTTACACAGCAGAACCACTGACCCTGTTCTCCATGGATTTTTTCACCAGATTAAAGCTTTTCCATCGCGAATCAAACTCGTGCTTGTGAGACCCCTGGAACTGCAAAACATCACTAATAATCTGTGGAGAGAAAGAGAGGGCAGGAGTGACTATTTTGCAAAACAAGCCACCTTGCCTTAAGCATTAAAAATTAAAAGTATACCTTTATTATTAGAAACAGAGACTTGGTGTCATCTTCTGAATGATCAAGAATGTAGCCTGCAATTGGGAGAAAAGCAGCTTATTAGCAGACAGGCAAAGAGCTTTCAAAATTAACAATGTTTCTACAAAGCTTCAATTGAGGAATTAAAGGCAAAGTAAACAAAATTTCTCATCTATAAAATCATAAACACAGCAGTTTTTAGCTGGAGGAGAGGCTGGACTTACGCAGCAATTTCCTGGTAACCCTTGCGATTGTTTCTCGGTAATTCTCCCTTGAGAAATCTGGAAGAAAATTAAACATTTTGCCTTTATTATAGGATAGCATAAAAAGCAGTTTATAGACAAGTAAACCCAGGGAAAGCCAGAGCGGACTGTGCAGAACTGGCAGTGTGGACCATTGTAAAAATAATATTTCTCAGGACACTGCTCCCATCAGTTTTAACAATGCCCAGGTAATGCAAAGAGAAGAATCAAAATTATGGTCTCCAAAAGAACAGCAGAAAAAGGAAGAAAGAAAGAAAACAACACCTAGAACCTGCCTGACCAGAATTGGGATCTACTCACCATAGTCAACACCAGTGTACAGTTTTGTCTCTTCCAAAGACACCAGGCTTGGGACCCTGCATGAGAACAAACCAAGGATTAGAAATCGTTGAGGAGGTGCATTTCACTGCCATTTAATTCATTTTAACAAGTCAAATTTAAAAGTTAGCAGCCCAAAGGTATTTGGATTTACTAATAATACGTCTCAGTTCTCACATTTATAAATTAACCATCCCCACGTGGGTCAGGCTGTTTGTCAGAGGCAGGGACACCACAGGGACATATATGGGATATAAAAATAATATATATATATATAAAAATAAAAATAAAATAAAACTAACGACATAAGGGATATAAAAATAAGTTTTACTTACAGATGAGCCACCCTTTCTCCTTTCAGAGGAGGCAGAATGTTCCCAGAACCAATGAGGCAGTTATGCACAATGGCAAGACTCTGCTGCACATCATCTCTTAAACAAAGAGGAAAACCTGGTTACTTCTCTGTTAAATCCTTGAAAACACACAAATGATGTACCATATCTTTTCTGTGAGGTTTTCTGAAAGCTTTTTTCTTTTAGTTACATCAGTTCTAAACACAGGAGGGAGCACTGTAGAAATCAAGCTGTGCTCGTTTGATCCAACTTAATTCTATCACAGAACCACAAGATTTTAACTTCATTTTCTGAAAAACTTGGGGGATTTCACATTCTGCAACTGCGCAGGTAATGAGATCAGCTAATGTGAAAACAGGCAGCTTTGCTCCAAAAAAAAAAACTTCTTTGAAAAATTTTATCTAAACCTCAGACATAAACCTACCAAATAACTCCTCACCCTGAGGCTGAGCCAATTCCTTCCCACCACGGGGATGCAACAATCCAAACAACTTCTGTGTTCATTCAGAGAATTAAGGAATTCCTTTTAAACCTCTCTCAGCTAAAGCAGGAGCTTCTGTTTTTAGTAACTTGGTCAGAGACAGAAAAAAATTCCTTAGGAATGTGACGCAGCATTCCCTGCTTGGCAGCACGAGGGAGAACCTCACGTGACTAAGTATCAGCTGAGGTATATTTAGCTGCAAGGACAGGAAGGTCTGACACGAGGAATAAACAATGCTTGGGATGTCAGGCCTGTTAACAGGCTGGGCTCTTGGACACCTGTAAATGCCCCAGCACACATTAAATCTGTGATTGTCTCACACTGCAGGAAGCCACAGCTCCGCACTGAGAGTTTCGGGATCTCTTTCGGATGCTCATTTCTGTTTTCTTCCAGCCACGTCTTTAACAAAGTGATTGTTTTCTGTATAATTACTCCAGGACTTTCTGTAAGGTGGTATTTACATTGGAAATACAGTCTTTGCACGTGGAAATCTTTGACTCCACCGTCTTAAAAGGTTTGCTAACTTCTTGAGGGTCTCTGCCTAAATCAGGACCGCACATGGTTTTGTTTTTCAAATCTTCACAGATCTGAGTAGCGGTTTCTAGCTGTGCTTCAAGATTCTTTTCTTCAATGGAATTATTCCAATTTTTCAGCAGTGATTCTACAGACTCTTTTGATCCGTATTTCACATCCCAGATATTCAGCTTTAACATCACCTCACTGGCAATAGCTGAGCACAGTCCATAGTGACATTCAAGAAAACTGCTGCAGTTTGTGAAATGAATATTGCTGAATCTTCTTTTCATTTTCTCTCATTTTTCAGGCAAGACCAGTGGCATATTATTCTCATCTTCGTTCTTAAATGACTGAAGGGTGTCCAAGTGAGAATCAAAACAACCCACCAAACTCTTAAGTATTACAATTTTTTTCCTCTGGAGAGAGACATTGCTTTCAATGGGTCCTGCAAATCAGGCAAATCTTCTGCCTGCAGATGTTCTCCCTCCTGAAGCCAAGCCTCAAAGCTACCCAGAGGGGAGGGCAACATCTGGTCCAGTAACAAGATTGGGCAACAACGTTCCTGCCTGGGTTCCTGCTCGTGACCTCCCTAACTCAGCTCCAGCCCTGCAGGGACACACCAGGCACTGGATCCATCTGTTCTCAGGGAGGGAGTGGAAAAAGGCACATTCCCCAAGCCACATCAGCCACGTGTTCCACTGCATGCTTAGGGACACAAATAAATGGCTGTGCCATAAAACCAGGGAAGAGTCCAGAGGAAGGACTTCCTTAGTGGTGCCTGCAGTTCACTGGAATCAGGATCCATCCCAATTCTGTTCCAGAATTTGTTTTAAATAGCTAGGTAAAGGGCCTATATATTTATTTCTGTTTAAAATCACGTTATCCATTTCATGAAACACATTGCCAAGCTCCATGTATTCTTAAGTTAAAAATCTTGGAGATTGTAGAACAACATTAAAGGTAGCATTACAGTATTTGACTCCTTAATTTTTGCAGTGCCAGTATGATTGGCAATAATCCCTGTGGGTGGCTAAATGCACCTTCTCCATCTCACCTGGACATCTCCAGTTCTCCAAGTGCATAGAGCTCCAGCCTGGTGAGCTCAGGCTGCAGGAAAGTATCCAGCAAATAAAAAGCAAAGTTTATCTCCTCGGATGAGGGAACATGCCACTGGATGTCCAAGTTCCACAGGTCACCTGGCTTACCCCAGTCCTATAGTAAATACAGACATTTATTGTTATTCCATCTACGAAACAAATTATGGTTTTTAAAAAATTAGCATTTAATATTATTAAAAAAAAAAAAAAAAGTCAAATCCTCTAATCCTAAATAAATGAAAATCCTTGCCTTGATAGGAAAGTATTCAGAAAGAGGCTTGTCAAAGCCACCTGGCACACTGCAGTACTCTGTGGGGTAGATAAGTGTAGCAGAACGAAGAAGGTGGTGCAGTAGGTTACAAGACAGAATGTAACCCTGCTTACAGGTTAAGTGGAGGGTGCGCTGCAGTATCTTCCCAAACTGCTCCCTGTACACAAGCAGCTGCTTTCCATCCACACGGGTGATCTGGGAGGGGAGAGGAACATGGCAAACCATCAGTGCTGCTGGAGGGGCTCAGCCCAGCCTGTGCCATTCCCTGTGCCATTCCCTGTGCCACGCTGAACTCAATGGAAAGGCTGGGCTTGCTCGTGAACTGCCACGGCTGTTGGACAGGTTTAAGTGACACAGAAGGGGCTGTGACACCCACCTCCTTCAAAATTTCCTAGCAATACTCACATACATTTAAAAATTAACTTAAAAATTCTCATATCTACCAAAAGCATCTCATGTTTTTTCCCCTGCATCGATCCCTCTTCTTTCTCTCTCCCTCAATAATTGCATTAAATGCTTTAATTTCATTCCACGTGCACAGTGTGTTTCTCTTCTTCAAACAACGGTCACTCACGTCCCATTTAAAGTCAGAAACAGAAGCTGTGCAGCATCATTCATACAACATTTGCTTTGGTTTAATGGAATTTTTTCTTCTTTCAGGGGCATTAAAGAGGACTCAGTGACACACAAGCCTGGGAAGAACGTTCTTTGCAATACCTCTGACAAAAGCTGAAGATTCCAAAGCAGCTCCTTGTCTAGTTCTTCATCATGTAACACATCATCATCTAGAGGAACAAGGGACAAGCTCTGCTGTAACCACACTGCAGCCAAGTTTTCCACACAAGAAACCAGATCCTTCCACTCCAAAAGCTGACTCCCAACCCTCCCACTGCATCCTTCCAGCTTCCCACTCCAACTCCCGTGTCCAGCTGGAAGTCACTTTAGCCAATGTAACATCCTGCAACTGGAGACATTTTAAACTGCCACATTTTTAAGGGATCATGGCCCTGCAGCCTGACAGATTTCTGCCCTGAGATCACACAGTGGTTTGGGTTTTTTTCAGACGAAACATTGGACTTTTCCATCGCTGAAACCAAGTTGTGGGAAAACACAGCCAAGTTTTAGAGGCTGTTTACACGTTTAAGAAAAGCCAACCCAAGAGCAAGCAAGTAACACTAGAAGTGAGATGAACTTACTGACTGTGAGGTGAGTTATAACGTTGCAGCAGTGGGGCACAAAGAGCTTCAGGGACTCCTCGGGGCGGCACTGCAAACAGCCCAGGTTAGAATGAGAGGCAGCTCAGCACACACTTTGATAAAAATCTAACAATATCACCACAAAAGAGAGAAGACTAGATTGTATCTCAGCTCCAATTCAACCTACAGGCAAGCCTGACTTCGTGACTCTCGTTCAATAAAACCTAAATTTAACACCAGAAAAACACCGTGCNAAAGTCAAATCCTCTAATCCTAAATAAATGAAAATCCTTGCCTTGATAGGAAAGTATTCAGAAAGAGGCTTGTCAAAGCCACCTGGCACACTGCAGTACTCTGTGGGGTAGATAAGTGTAGCAGAACGAAGAAGGTGGTGCAGTAGGTTACAAGACAGAATGTAACCCTGCTTACAGGTTAAGTGGAGGGTGCGCTGCAGTATCTTCCCAAACTGCTCCCTGTACACAAGCAGCTGCTTTCCATCCACACGGGTGATCTGGGAGGGGAGAGGAACATGGCAAACCATCAGTGCTGCTGGAGGGGCTCAGCCCAGCCTGTGCCATTCCCTGTGCCATTCCCTGTGCCACGCTGAACTCAATGGAAAGGCTGGGCTTGCTCGTGAACTGCCACGGCTGTTGGACAGGTTTAAGTGACACAGAAGGGGCTGTGACACCCACCTCCTTCAAAATTTCCTAGCAATACTCACATACATTTAAAAATTAACTTAAAAATTCTCATATCTACCAAAAGCATCTCATGTTTTTTCCCCTGCATCGATCCCTCTTCTTTCTCTCTCCCTCAATAATTGCATTAAATGCTTTAATTTCATTCCACGTGCACAGTGTGTTTCTCTTCTTCAAACAACGGTCACTCACGTCCCATTTAAAGTCAGAAACAGAAGCTGTGCAGCATCATTCATACAACATTTGCTTTGGTTTAATATAATTTTTTCTTCTTTCAGGGGCATTAAAGAGGACTCAGTGACACACAAGCCTGGGAAGAACGTTCTTTGCAATACCTCTGACAAAAGCTGAAGATTCCAAAGCAGCTCCTTGTCTAGTTCTTCATCATGTAACACATCATCATCTAGAGGAACAAGGGACAAGCTCTGCTGTAACCACACTGCAGCCAAGTTTTCCACACAAGAAACCAGATCCTTCCACTCCAAAAGCTGACTCCCAACCCTCCCACTGCATCCTTCCAGCTTCCCACTCCAACTCCCGTGTCCAGCTGGAAGTCACTTTAGCCAATGTAACATCCTGCAACTGGAGACATTTTAAACTGCCACATTTTTAAGGGATCATGGCCCTGCAGCCTGACAGATTTCTGCCCTGAGATCACACAGTGGTTTGGGTTTTTTTCAGACGAAACATTGGACTTTTCCATCGCTGAAACCAAGTTGTGGGAAAACACAGCCAAGTTTTAGAGGCTGTTTACACGTTTAAGAAAAGCCAACCCAAGAGCAAGCAAGTAACACTAGAAGTGAGATGAACTTACTGACTGTGAGGTGAGTTATAACGTTGCAGCAGTGGGGCACAAAGAGCTTCAGGGACTCCTCGGGGCGGCACTGCAAACAGCCCAGGTTAGAATGAGAGGCAGCTCAGCACACACTTTGATAAAAATCTAACAATATCACCACAAAAGAGAGAAGACTAGATTGTATCTCAGCTCCAATTCAACCTACAGGCAAGCCTGACTTCATGACTCTCCTTCAATAAAACCTAAATTTAACACCAGAAAAACACCGTGCAAATTAACCCCTTGGAATCTGCCTGCGTGCAACCAGCCGGTTTGAGAAGACGGAATACTAAGAACCACCTAAAAATCAAGGTATTACACAGGAAAAAGCAGCAGCACTGGGTTTTTTTTTTTCCCCCTTTTTAAAGTGAAGCTGGAGTGGATTCAGAGCATGTTCTCTCACTTTCACTGCAGCCCGGCACATGTCGGCGACCATCCGACCGGCGACTCTCGTCTCAAATATGTTCGAAACAGCAAAGTTAAAAACCTTCTCCAAGGCAACCTAAAAGCGAGCACAAAGACATGGAGGTTACTTTTTCAAAAAAAAAAAAGGAGAACTAGGTATCCTAAAATGTTTGATGTTACTCAGAAGGCAGCATCTGTGCTCTTCTAAAACACAGGACTGCAATCGGGAAGCACATTTTAATAATCAGAAGAGAGAGAAAGCAGCTCTGTGGAATGCCTAAGATATTCCCTTTGGGAAGAGAGGAGGTGGATAAAATCTTGCTGACTAATGTAAGTTTAGGGTGCTTCTGAGAAACTACACAGATAATAAATCAGTCTCCAAAAGGAAAACCGCTATTTCACGTGTCACAGTGAAGGAAAGTCAAGACATCCCTTACTTAACAAATAAACAGGGAATTAAATTAACAACTATTTAGGCACTCAGCGTGTTTTAAAGCAGTTTATTTCCATCCAGCACCTTGCAAGGCAAGCTGAATTATACACAGTGTGGATCCCATGAGTACTTTAATAAAGAACAATCAGGGAAAATGCAAATTAAATACTTAATGACGATGCAGAATTAACTGAAGGTTTACATGAAGCAAAAGATTCCAAACAAAAATCATTCCAAAGTACCCAATGCAGTGGTTCAAAATGCACAAAATCTGCCATCTCCAAAAAAAATAATATCTATATATATATATATGAATATATATATATGAGCAGATATAAATGTGTTAACCCAACCCACAAGGAAGGAACCTGTCCACGTAACAACACGGATTCTCCCCCCCCCCTCTGAGTTATTTTAATCCAGATAACTTTTCTGATCCCATTATCCAACAGCTCCTTGAACAGCTTCTTCTGCCCAGCTGAAGAAGTGGAAGGGAGAGGGAGAAAAGGAAAGCAGGGGATTGGGTAGGTCAGCAATGATCAGGACATGAAAAATCACAGCCTGAACCCGCAGAGGGATAAAATAAGCTCTCAGAATGACTTCATCATCAGTTTGCAAGAGAGCACAAAGAACCCAAGAGCTCTGTACTGATGAATATAAATAAAGTTTTCCTGTCCCCCCCTCCCCAGCCCTTTCCTTGGTTAAGTGTGGAAGTTCACAACGGGAAGAATCCCAACACCCCAGTTGTTCACCACACAGAATTAAGCTGCTTCAATCAGGTGGAAAGCCCACGTTGTACACACCTTAAAGATGTCCTTTGAACACTGGGTAAGGATGGTACTGAAAGTAGAGGAGAGCCCCAGTTCCACCAGACTCTCCAGGTGAGTCATCTTCTCAGTCTCAGTCTCCTCTCTGGTTTGTTCTAGTGTGCTGCTCTCTATGAGTCCAAAACACCTACAAAACGCAACACAACGTCAGCAAGTGAAACTTGAGAGGTCTGTAATCGAGTTCTTCATGCCAAGCTTTCCCCTCTCCTCAGCTCACTCACCTATCCATAAACTGCAGCACGAAATCCTCAAACTCAGCAGATGCAGAGCACAGTTCTCTTTCCACCTGCAGTTTGCCACCACAGAAGAAACACAAGAGGTTGGCTTTTCTCCAGGAAACACAAACACAGAACATATTTCCTACATGAACTACAGCACATTTCCCACTGCACAGGCTCGAGGACACTCCATAAGACAATTACTGCATGTTCCTTGCCCTGTCCTGTCCCAATTTCCTGGCCTGGATGTCTATCCAAGGAACCTCTGTGGTGAAATCAGGTTGTATCCTTCATGGATACAACCTTTGGCCTTGCTCCTGATCCTCCTTGGCAGCAGGAGGTCAGTGAGTGCCAGAGGTGGGGACAGACCTCACCTGTATTCACATTTAACCCTCAGGGTATAAACCCCTCCTGATTTTTGGGGTGCTGCAGCTCTGGGGCAATGAAACCCATCCTCTGATCTGGGCAAACTGAAGCTACTGTTGCTCTCTGAGCTACAAAAAGCCTTCTGGGAGCAAACAGGGGTGGTGATAAGGGGGATAAGACTCAGTGTCTAATGGTGTTACTGTCTCTTGGTTGGAGGGGATTAAAAAGCATCCAAAGAGAAAGTAATAGAATCCCAGTCAGGAAAGGGAAGAGGAACAGGTGTTTATTTAAAGAGGAAAACAGCTCTGGAAAATGGAAAAAAACCAAACCCCTAATGCACTATTTAAAATAACTAGCAAGTTGGGGATTTTTTTTGTGTTGCTTTGTGTTTTATGGTGACAAGGACTTTCAAAAAAATTAAGAGTAATAAAGCTATTTTAATACAAAAATTCACATAGCAAGTGACCTCTGGAGACAACACAGTCCAACCTCCTGCTCAAAGCAGGGAAAGCTCAGAGTCAAATGACACTACACAGGGCCCTTGAGCAACTAGGTTTTGACATTTAAGTATTAAATTGCATTAATTAAACATTCTCTACAACAAGAAATGTTTAGAACACGCAATTTGCACACTGGTATCAGCTCTGCCACACTGCCCAGAAGCAAACACGATCCATATCTTATCACACATTGCTAGAAATTCAATTGAAAACTAAGTGACAGCTTTGTTTTCACAACTTACCTCTGAAAGATCATCCCTCTCTTGCAATACAGATGAACAATCTACTAAAGGCACCAAAGTAGAAAATGTTGCAATGAACTGGAATGTGATCTGTTGGGAGTTGCAAACAGCTCTTTAGTGTATTGTATTCTACACATTAAAAAGCTTTGGCCATTTATAGGAGCTAAAGCAAATCATGCTAAAACCAAAAATACACCAGAGCCCAATTCTTACACCCCAAAACTACCAACAGTTATTTCAGATTTCATAGATGGAACTTACTAGCCAGCACTGCACAAAAATTCTCAATTTTCTAAGTAAAATAATTATTATTTTGTGCTGAACTTCAAAGTTACAAACCCTTAAAATATTTACGTTGTTTTAAGTAAATTAATATGAATTCCTGAAGGTGTGGACTTTCAGAACCTAATGTAATGAAAACCTAATTATAAAAGTCTTTCTTTTGATGTTAAAAGACTAGGAATATTTGCTGGGAGCTCTGGAGCACCTACTCAATCTTGTTGTGCAGAGCTGCCCAGAAAGTCAGCACAATGCTTATCAGTGAGCCAAAAGCATTATCCCAAATTAGAGGGCTGTAATATTAAATTTTTGTACTTCAAACTGTGCAGGAAAAAAAAGGTTAAGAAATTCTGGCCACACAGAAACATAAAAATTTTTCTCTATAAAATACAAGAAAATATTGGCTGGTTGGCTCACAATCTTCTAAAAAAAAAAAAAGAAAAAGAAAAAAAAAAGGAGATATTTGCCCACTCACCATACACTTGCTGAAGTCGTTGGGATCCACCCCAGGCAGGGCTCTCATGAGCAGAGGTAGCATGTG